CAAGGTGAATTGTTTTTTTTTTTCTTCCCCCTTCTGATATTTGCAAAGAGCCCCAGTTGAGAACAGTTATGTGAATAAATCATCATGACCTAAACAAAATGTTAACTCTTATTAGTAGGTGCATCTTTTGCTTATGTATGGTTCAGATTTGAGTTTTCTTTACCAAAATCTTAAGTAGTCATAGATTTACGGAAAAGTGAGATAAATATTGAGAGTCTAACTAAAAGTACTTTCTATTTAACTCCGTCATTTACTTATTCATCCTTATAGTCTTTCCTGCATTAACTCAGTTTTTTTTCTAACCAGTTTGCCATGTATGTGCAGTTTCCAACATTGGGTATATAAAAACAAATAGGAAGAGCTCCCAGCCTGCGAGGAACTCACTACCTAGTGAATATTCACTATAAGCCATAAGAACCCCTTTCTGTTCTATAGCCAAATGTTGAGCCAAATCTATTGCTAAATCTCAGCAAAATAGCATGGCCATTATTGCCTCGCCATATGTATGTCAGCGCCTGACACGCTTTTATAAAAGGTAGGAGGCAATTCTCTTTTTTGCTTCAGCAGATTTGACATCTTTCCCCCCATTTTAGCCTGCTGCAGATTCAGATGGTACAGATAGAAAGCCCTGAAAGTGTATACTTGTGCATTTTTAAATGTCCCCTACTACACTCTAACCTCCCCCTGCTTTCCAAATGTTGCCATTAGTGGTTACAATAATCATCTGTAATGTTAGCTTCTAAGAACCACAGTACAAGAGCTTCTTTTCTAATTCCCCAGATGGGAAGGAACACATGTACAAGCCTGTTAGAGTTGCAGAAACTAGAAACAGTACTGTGTGGATTTGTATTTTTGGAACTCTTTGGGCTTATTTAAGCACTCCAAGTCAAACTTAGATATCCATTAGGAATCAAATACCAATTCAGGGGAAACTCATGTGGCACACCAAGGCAAGTAAATTATATTAAAAGTAGTCCATAAAAGGAACTCCTGGAAACAACTATTTTCCTATTCAGACTACAGTTTCATGTACTGCTTGCAGGATGCCAGATGATAAATGTTGATTATATAAACCGGGGTCATTCCATTTGTTTAGAGGACTGTCTCCGAGCATTTTTGTTTTTTGCTTAAATAGAGCAGTGAAATGAGAAGTTAGAGAGTAGGAAAGAGAAATAATTATAAATTATCCATAGGTGTATGGAGTGAAGCTGCTAATTAAAAAGGGTTTCAGTTGTCCCTAGTTTTTTGCAGTGTCTTGTTTTGTTTTGTTTTGTTTTGTTTTTTAACCGGGTTTTGTGACTTGTAGTTAGAGCCTTGACCTTTAACAGGGAAATGCAGTCACTGAGGGAAGATATCTGACAATCAATGTTAGTTCTTTTTTTATCATCTTACTTTGAGGTGAACAATCTAACTCTAAAGAGAACTACTCGTATACTTAGATCATAAAATGAATGTCTCTCTGAATGTGAATTTTTTCAGCTTCAACTTTAGTTTTAGATATTTTATGAGTTTTAGGGTTGTATTATATAATTACATCGTTTCTGTTTGTTGCGACTGTATTTTTTAAAATTTCCATCCTCATTTTACAGAAAGGAGTATTCAAGGTTGAATACTTTATCATCTGTAAAAGAGTAAGTAATGATAGATAATTTCAGATTCCCAATCTTGGTTTTCCTTTTGAAACCACTAGTTCTAGGGACCTCGGTATATTATGGGGGACAGGAGCAGGGAGTCAGTACTGAGTTTCCAGATATCACTGGTGAAACATTTGTAAAGCTGGTTCTTGAAAACCGCTAGGTGTGGAGAATAAAGGTTAGAAGTTAACATTAATTTGTTTACTGCTGTACTCATTTAGCAAACATCGAGTGATTTCTATGTTCTAGGCACTGTGCTAAGGTCCTCCTCTTACATACTTCCTAAGTCATACTACCTAAAACTACATTCCAGAGGTATTACAAATCTACATGTAAAAATACAATGTTAGATGAAATGCTAGGGAAATAGTTATATAACCTCAGAGTTACTGACCAGATTTAACTCTGTAGAAAGCTCAGTTTTCTCAGGGGCGCCTGCGTGGCTTAGTCAGTTAAGCATCTGACTTCAGCTCAGGTCACAATCTCACAGTCTGTGAGTTTGAGCCCCGTGTCGGGCTCGTGCTGACAGCTTGGAGCCTGGAACCTGCTTCAGATTCTGTGTCTCCCCCTCTCTCTCTGCCCCTGCCCCACTCATGCTGTCTCTCTCTCTCTGTCTCAAAAATAATAAACATTAAAGAAAAAAATTTAAAAAAAAGAAAGCTATATTTTCTGTGCTGTTGTGAGTCCCTAGACAAAGTAAAATGTCAAAAGCTGGGCTGAGAGAAAATATTTATAACACATGTGATAGACAAGGGTTAACGAACCTAACAGACACCAATAACAAGAAAAGTCCAAGAGTCTTTAAGCAAAATGGGCAAAGGATTTGATCAGAAAAGTTACAGAAGAAATGACCAGTAAGCAAGTAAAAAGTTGCTCATCTTTAGTCATTGAATCTCAGCTGAGCTACCATTTTCTGGCAGTCAGACCGCCAACATTAAATTGAAGAGTGACAACAGCTAGTATTATCAGGTTATTCAGGATGAGCAGAAACAGGTTCTCTCTCTCATGCTGATGCAAATTCCTGGTCCAAATGTAAATTGCTGTACAGTTTTTAGAAAAATAACCCTACACTGTTAAAGTGTAAAATGTTCATAACCTTTGATCCAACAAGCTCGGTTTTAGTTCTTAATTCAGAAATATATGTCCCACTGGAAAAGAATATACGTATCTTTATCCGAGGATATTTATTGTAACACTGTCAAATGGCTAAGAAGTACAGACAACCTGAATGTCTGTTGCTAGGGGAATGGTTAAAAAAAAAAAGAACGAAATCCATGCCATGGAATATTATGTGGCTATTTGGGAAGCAGTTGGTAGAGTGATAGGTGTAATACAATTCCATTAAGGGAAACAAAACAGAAGGTTAAAGAGCTATTTATTTGCACGTGTATGTATGGGTGTATGTTTTTGTGCGCCTAGAAAAAGCTGTTTGAGGCCACATACACAGCTAGTATCGGTCACCTTTAAAAGGGAGGGTAGAAGAGCTTTCTTCTTTCTAAACTTCTGTATGGCTTGACTTGTTACAACAAGCCTAAATTTTGTAATGTAAAACCAAAAAACAACTGGGAAGTAAAAGAGGAAAAAAAAAAAAAGAAGAATGAAAAGGGAGGGGGGCGTGTCACAGAGATAGAAAATCAGGAGAGCATAGTTTCTTACAAGTAAGAAACTGAGTATTTCCAGAGGAAAAGACATCATCCATGTCAAATACTGTTTGGAGATCAAGTAAGATAAGGACAGAGAAGCATTTGCTGTGTTTCGTGGATGCCTTGGTGGGGGCAGTCTTGATGGGCTGGGGGGTGGGGGGAGGTCAGAAGGTTAATCTCATGTGCTAAGGGATGAGTGGGAGGGAAGGGAGTAGAGACCAGGAGTGCAGACCATTCCTTCAAGCGGTCTGTGATGGAGAGGAGAGAGGAGAGAGAGGAGAGAATGCAAGGGGTTGTGTAGAGACCAGCACGGTTCTTTTCTTTCTTTTTTAAAATTCTTATTCTAAATGGGAGAGACTTCTGGTTCTTGTCCCTTTGTATCCCTGCCACACGTGCATACTGTAGGCACAATAAAAGGCAGAGCAAGGATGATGTCAGAGCTGAGCTGGCTGGGTGAGATGACCAGCTCCCCACGATGCAGGAAAGGAAGGGGTAAGGTTAGTTTAGGACTGAAGGAAGGACATCATATCTGAGGTTCTCAATGCTCATGGGCAGTAATTCTTGAAGTCTAGATTGGGACCCTCCTAGGATGGCTGCTGAGCCCTCCAGAGGACCTTGAACCAATCCAGAAATACAGGCCAGTTCTTACCAGTCCTTATGGGTGAAAGATGTGTAATCCTATTAAGTTTTTAAAAAATTTGTATTTGACTTAGAGCCAATACCAACCAAAAGTAAAATTGTCAAGGGTTACTAAAATCTGATATTCACAAAGTAAAACCAGCATGCTACTAGAGTTTATTCTAATTCAGTAGTTTATTCAGAAGTCTGGCAAACACTTGGTGCTTGGCAATAATCGCAAATATGTAAAACCCACAGTTTTGAGTCAGGACACTTCATCAGTGTTGGATTGAGTTGGTTATGACATTCAATTATCACTATTCTTGCTTTTTGATTATAAATTACAGGAAGTTTAGCTTTATCATTATCAGTTTTGTTTATTGTGGGTTGTTAACCTCTCAGTGTTTCTTGGTGCATATTTGGATCAACAGTGTTTTTGTCTTATATTATTCTTATAACCAGGCTTTTAAAATATGCAAGTCTCGTAGTTCATGTATGAATCATCCATAATCGTTTTGCAAAGGAGATGCGTATGTAACCCCCTGCCATTTGCTTGTATGGCGGCACAGTTCATAGCGATGTGTTTCTTGGGAACTTTTGCTATTTAAATAACTTACGACATACTATCAAGGTATATACAATAAAATTACTGGGCATTTTAAGATTTTGTTGTGGTCTTATGATATAAATCATGTTCATCACTCCTGTTTTTCCTATAAAAAGAAAATTACAAGCCATCTACGTGTATTGTAGGAATTATGAGCTGTTACACATATTTTTAGCAAAATGTTTACTATGACTTTTTAGCTATGTTTTTGACTAATTCTTGGTTATCACCAGATTCACTTTTCCCCTCTTGGAATGTGGGAACAAATGAGAAGGTGGGAGTCTTTTGCTCACCATGATGGGCTTTGATCAGAAAGGCTGAGAGCCATCACTCTAGGGGAGTGACTGGCACATGGTGAAGGATGTACAAAGCTGCTTAATCCGAATCCAGGTAACCCACACTCTGTGGCCTCGATGCCAGTGGACTGTGAGCTCAGCACCAGGAAGATGTTCCAAGAGTAGGCACTGATGACATCGTGTTTTTCACTCCCTACTCAAGGATGTAAACGAAGACCCTGGAGAAGATGTGGCCCTCCTTTCTGTCAGTTTTGAGGACACTGAAGCCACTCAGGTGTATCCCAAGCTGTACTTGTCACCCCGAATTGAACAGTAAGTATCAATGTCATTAATTTTCTGCAGCCTGGTGTTTCTCCCTGTTAGCCAAACATGTCTCGCTAATTCTTTTGCCCCTTTGGAACTCTTAAAATGATTTCTCTTTACTGACTTCTGTTTCCTTAAACATGACTCGTATCAGGAGGTTAGATTGCAGAGTAAATGTAGTCAGTATCTGCCACTGCAATCTTTGGATGAGTCTTAGTTGTGCAACTTGTGATATGAATACTGTACCTTTGTAGAGAGAGATGAGTAGGCAGACTGAATCCGAAATTGCGACTCCTTCCAAATGTTCCCTGGGTACATATGGTTATAGCCTAAAGAGGACTACTGAACAGCATCCTATCCAGTTTCTTACGTTTTTGTAACTAATATAGTTATTGGTAAAAATGTAACTCGTCTCCTGAAAATATTAAGCAAAAACATATTCAGAAGTTAATAAAGGTAATACTAAAAGCAGATAGCTTAAGAAGATGACACGTTTGAATTACTTTTCTGTGTCTAAATAGCGCTGTGTCATTTTACACAACTTTTAGGCTCTGTGGTACAAGTAGTTTGATAGCACATTTGTGTTTTAACTAAGTAACTTTACTCGTCGGGAATGAATTTTACAAGGACTGGCCTCACAATGTGCTTATTGTTGGCTCACATGCTTCAGAAGCTTATTCTACTTCAAAGGAAGCTGAGGCTCATTGAAAATAGATTGTAAGCAGATTTGGTTGGAAACTTCTGACAGGATAGATTTCTCATCAGCAGAGAGAGTTTTTAACAGACTCTGATTGAAATGTATTATTAAAAGTCAGTCAGGGTTGGCAGATTTCTGTCTGTGAGATGTGGTCGCCATCCAGCATTCATATACTGAGTCATTTTTACCCCTCTGGCCCTCGTTGCTCTACTTCATGAATCATGGCCATCCTATCTTACACACTGATACAAGATACAGGTGTTTCTACTCAAATACGGATGACTGTGAGCATCAGGCATGCTCTCATTTATTTATATACCACTGAGAGCACCTAAGACAGGATTTTACAGTAGCAGGTGTTCACTGAATGTTTTAACTTGTAATCTAAAATACTAACCCACGTTGGTAAGAGGCCAAAGAATGTTGGAGGCAGTACAGTGAACTGCCAATAGGCAAGGGCTCTCGAGTCAAGCATACCTGCTTTAAACCCAGGTCCTGCCCCTTACCAGTTGTCAGAATATGTCGCACCTTTGAACTTGCCTCAATTTAGAGATGGCGATACCTATTTCAGAGTGATATTTTGAGGATTATATTAAACACTGTTCTTAAGGCATTAATTGCAGTGCCTGGCACTATAGCAAGTGGGAGTTATTAATGTTATTATGATTATCAATACAGTTCACAAGAGAAGAATGAGTGAGTGAGAGTGCGTGGTTAGGACAAGTTGGGGCCGAAAAGGAGAGGATGGGTAATAAATGAGCAGATACCAGCTATAAAGTAGTCACTCTGTATGTACATGCTAAGTTAAATTCAGAAGGTATTTTGGTGATGAGAAAAGAGAGATCTCAATGAAACAATCGCAAGATGTAAGTAATAAGAATCTATCAGTTAAGCTGCAGACAGGAATTTGCCAGCTCAGAAGAATGATTTTCCCAACACCTACATTACTTTTCTTTTACTGTACCCGTTTGCAAATAAACTTGCTAATAAAATATTTCTCCCTCTAAAATCTATGATGTGATGAATTATCAGTGAAGGTTATATTTTAAAAGTTAATTCCTCTAAAATCTAGCTTTCTGCATGTGTGAGTGGGGGAGGGGCAGAGAGAGAGAGAGAGAGAGAGAGAGAGAGAGAGAGAGAGAGAATCCCAAGGAGGCTCTGCACCATCAGTGCACAGCCCGATGTGGGCTCGAACTCACAGAACTGTGAGATCATGACATCGGCCGAAATCGAGAGTCAGACGCTCAACTGACTGAGCCACCCAGGTGCCCCTCACTTGAACTTCTCTTAGCTTACTGTGCACTCCCGGCCATGTGCCTTTGCTAAAGCTATTACCTCCATGTACAGTGTCTTCTCTAACACCCTTTTTCTGTTGAAATAGACCTCTCCAAATGCCGTCTGTACCATTTTTCCTGAGCACCATTGGGCTGCCTTCTCTGGCCATTCCCTGAACTCTTAGAATACTGAATTTATACCCATTAGAATCTGCTCAACACAGATTTAGTTAGTGGTGTGTATTTGTTTTCCCATCTTTTGCTAAACTGCAAGTTACTCAAGGGCAGGAACAAGTCTTTTCGTTTCATTAATGGTTTTACAGAAAGGTGGCACATGGGGAACAGTAGCCTGGTTGGCAGTATTTTAAAGGCTCAACACGTAATTCTTACAAGAAAAATGGAAAATGCTACACTGAGAGCTCTTACATTTTTTTCCAGTTGATACATATTAACTTAGTAGAACTGCCTTCGTAATACCATTGAAAACTGCCAAAAGTTCTGACATCCTTGAGTAGAAGTTTTAAAAATGAGTTTTGTAGAAAAAGGTTAAAATGGAAAGTGGTCAAATTGTGGTATGACTTTCTGAGGGCTTCCATAGTTACTTAAAGTTTTTAATATCTTTGGTTAACTCTTGCAGAGTTGAGAGTACACATAGAACAGAAGTGGTGTCATTTCAGTAAGGCCAGCATCGTAGGATAGATTTTAAGAACTGAACGAGGAGAGGTTGGTACTGGTCTTTGATACTGTGTGAAGCTCTCGTTAGTTTTCCATGGTTCGTACCATCCTGTCAACTCTGAGCCGTCCAAACATGAAGTATGGCCTCGGACTTGGAGAGTGCTCTCAGGAGTCATGAGGAAAGCATCCCGTGTGGACCCGCCCAGAACCGGTGCCAGACGCTCGCCCTGAGCTGAGGTTTGTTACTCCTTTTGGCTGCTGCTATGGTTCTTTCTAGGAAGTCCCAAGCCCCATGCAGTGCATGTGACAGACACGGATCTGGGCAGGACCAGTGGCCTGGTCCACATTAGGTAAAAATTGGCAAGAAGAGACTTGCATTCTTACCACTCTGTGGGCCTGGAAAGATACGTTGAGCCTGGGACATAGTGCCTTTCAGTCTGGCTGATGTCCCTCTGCCCCTGCATGCAATGGGCAGGGACACTGTGCTTACACTAACTAGTCTTAGAAAAGGGAAAGGCCTCTTTGGGTCTTGTCTTCATATGTGCGAAAAGGGATCAGTTTGCTGTACCCTAAAGATTTCTAGGGACATGGTTCCCAAATGTCCCCACATTAGACAATCCCCACAAAAGGGAACATCTGTCAGAGACATCGGGTGGAAAACTTCCTGAGTGTATTATAATTAATGAGGCTCTGAAATGCAATCCCGCTTCAGAAGCCTGTCTTTTTGCCCAAGGCCTGGAAGAGAGGTCTGGTGTTTCTGGCAGCACTGGAACATGACTGCACGCCTTTATGGTGTTTAGATGTATGTTGTTTCCTGATCTCCCACCGCGCACGTATATGTTGTTTCCTGATCTCTCACCGCGCACGTATATGGCTTGCAAAAGTAAACCTTCTGAGAACTTCGTATGCTTCTCGCACACAGGACATTTATGAAATACGCATATTTCAGGCTCTGTATCTATACATTTGTTTTCCCAGGAACCCAGACCAATCAGTTAAATGAGACCCTAAGTACTGTTCCTTAAACAAAACAGAACAAAAAAGCTAGTGGTCAGTTATGCAAGGTAGACTTTGGTTGAAGATGAAGAGAGGGGAAGGAACGTGCTTTCTAAACCAGTTGCCTTTTTTTCCTGGCAGAAAAGCTGGACGTGTGAAGTTACATCCTCAGAGCTGGCACCAGTCTGTTCCACCTTTCCCTCCTCCTCACGCTGCCGGCTCCCAGCAGCGACAGCAAGGGTTAAACGGGCGGCAGAGGCTGCCCGATTCTCTTTGCCGAAAGGTGTGGGCCCATTTTTTGGCTTGAGCCAGTTGGTGGGAGTGGTTTGAAGAAAACCAGCTTGTCACTCCCTGTGCTGTTCCCACTCGGTGCATAAAAAGAGGATTTCAGCCCCTGAGGCAGACCAGGTGGCATCTTTCACAAGTACAGAATTTGTTTTTAGAACTTTTTGTTGTTAAGTTACAGTCCGCCTTAGAAGTAAGTACTCAAAGCTTACCAGCCCACAAACAGTCCCCATTAGGGAGGCCTGTGTGCCTGCAAGGATCCACGCATTGATTCTTTCAGGCCGCGAAAGCACGGTGAGGACTTGACCAGGCGTAAGGCCCTTGGCTGGGTGCTTCAGAGGATACCAAGATAAGTGAGATGTGGCTCGTCCCTTCGTTTGCTTACAGATTATAAGGGAAATAAGAACAAATACGGCAAGTTCCAGCATGTGTTTTAGTAGAAAAGGCACGATGCAATTTGGCATCAGAAGCTCTCGGTTCCTCTACTTACTAGCTGGTGGCCTGGCTCAAGATACTTAGCCTTTTTGAGCCTCACTCATTTCCTCCTCTGCAAAGGCAGGTAACTCCTAACTTTCTGTTTCGTCTCCTCCAAGGGGGCGTGTATGAAAGCAGCTCTCGTAGTGTTGGCACATGGGGGGTGCCCAGGTCATGCTGCTGGAATGTCTAAATACCAGAAATAGAGTTTTTAAGTACTGTGAGAGTCCAAGGCGGGAGGAGGGCACATTTCCATTGGACTTGGTGGAGAGGGGACTTTGTGGAAGATTTTGGGAAGCCTGGCTCTTCTGACGTAATATGGCTTTTCTAGAGGTTAAACACATGCTACTGTAACAATAATAAAAATGTATTTGTTTAGTACTTTAAAATGTTTAAACCACTTTCACTGTACCATCCCATCAGATCCTGATGATAATATTGCTAACGTGTTCTAGAATACATCTCTTTTCCTCTATATTATATTCCTCCATATCCCGTGATTTCATCCCCAGAGCCTTACCTCTCTGTGGATGTTCCCCTAAGTCCCCATTTCTTTCTTTTTTTTTTTTTTTTAAAGTTTATTTATTTTACGAGAGAGTGTGCGCGCA